GATGCCAGATTAGACAGTGATAGTTTTTGAGTGGGATGGGGAAGGATTTGCATTGCTGGAGGGAAGTGTCTATTTTGGGTAGTAACTAAGACTTTCTAAGGATTCTATGTGCTGTTGGGAGAGCGTGCTCCTTCCAAGGCCATGGCGTAGTGTGCTATGGTAAGTGTTGGAGTAGAAGCCCTTACCCTTCTCTGCCACCAGGCCTGTGTCAAGAATGCAGCCCTGAGTGGCAGTGGTGGTGGCTAGGGCGGGGTGCAGGTGTTCTACAAGTAGGGCCCAGCTTCGTTGGCTGAGGGCTGTGTGATGTGAGAGATCCAGCCAACCCTTGGCCATGTGACAGGAGCACCATCTGTACCCCAGGGTGCCTCGATTTTGCAGCTGCCACAGCCTACTCAGGCAGATTTGACACAAGCTTAGCAACTAGCTTTTCCAGGAGGTTTGTAAATTTCCAATCTGCTGTGCTACGTTTTCCCCTACAACTGCCACCAACCAAATGTTAATTTGGATCCAAGACCCGAAGGGTAGTCAGAAAGTGTATGGGCTCATACAGAATTGGAAAGGAGATTGGGGCTCAGGTGGCCCTCTGAATGGACCATTTCTAGAAAAAACAGATACGTAATTATCAAACCTTTACTCGTATGTCTGTCTTTACACAGAAGCATTCCTCTGCTATTGCATATAAAATTGAATTTGTTATTTTCAATTTAATTTTAGCACCAAGTTAATGCAATCTTTGTTATTTTAAGGAATTCTGCAATGAGTATTCCATTTGCCGAAGTCAATAAATGACCTTCAATTTGTCTTGAAGTCATGTATAAGTGTAGATACATTTATATTTGTGCTTGCATCTTCTGTGTGCCTATGTTGAGGATTATATCTCCTTTGAAAAATGCAGATGTTGGCTCCAGACTAGCTTTAAGAGCTCCATGCTTAATTTACAAGAGCAGAGAAAAGGTTGAGTTACACACACAAAATAGTTGGCACTAAGATTCCGTCTTCATTGTTATCCATACAACATCATCCACAGAACAAAAGACATAAATGCAAGATTGTATAGCATGCTGGGATGAATACATTACAGCTCAGAGCTGCATTTCAAATACAGTTTTTTGATATCTTAATACCCAAGGAGGTTAAGAGTATTTACGAGTTGAAGAGCTAGGGGACTTCATTGCTATTCCTGAACACAATCTAATTATAGAAAAGACAAGTTTATAAATATACAATAGAAATTTTCTGAGATGATTAGAGTCTCCCCAATTCCTGCTCTGCTTGACTGCAATAACCATTCCTCCCCACATGTCCACATTAGTTAACGAGCAACTTCTGCTGGAATTAGTTTTTCAAATGATACCGAGTTTAAATTTGGAAGCTTGAGTAATGTTTAAGTAACTAAGGTAGGGAGGGTACAGCTCAGTGGTAGAGTGCATGCCTAGCATGCATGAGGTCCTGGGTTCAATCCTGGGTACCTCCATTAAAAAAATAAACTTAAATACCAATACCCTCCCCCCAACCCCCCAAAAAGAGAAGTAAATATCCAAGTTCACATAAGGGTATGGACGTAGGGAGACCAGTTAATTTGGTTGAGATCTAGAGAATCACAATCCATAACTGTGAGCCAAGAGTAAAGCAAGTGTATTTTGAAGTTCTTAGATCTTGTACAAGTGAATTTTTTTTTATCTAGAACTCATCTCCACACTAGTGCTCCTGGTGGCCCCATGTAGTGCCCCTGATTGTAGACGTTCCTTTAACTGTAGAAGGTCCTGCAGTTCAACAGCTATTGGCAGGGGCTATGTCTAATCCTGTGCCCTCAGCAGTTAGTGCAGGGCACGGCACGCAGCAGGCTGCTCGTGAACAAGTGGATGAGAGAGCAAATGACCACATGAAGACGAGTTTAGGCTGTGGCAGTGTGACGCAGTGCTCTCTTAGGAGGGACAGGCAATGGGCATACACATTCTTCCCACTCAACATGAAGGAGATTACAATGGTGATGGGTATTTTTTCATACCCCTGGCAGCAGAGGGATCAAGGCACTGACCCAGGCAGGATCAGTCCTTAATTTTTCTTGGCCTGAGATGCACTTTAGGAAAAGTGCTTTCCTTTACTCTTGAGTTGCTGAACAGAAAGATGTGACCTCTGGGTGGCTTGTCCTCACTGGTTGCCTGGAGAAAGCAGTGAATAGTAGGTAAAAATGCAGCTCACCCACCGAATGAGGGATGTAGAACTGACAGTAGAGATGAAGCCTGGACCTGTCACTGGAGCCTGGGATCCAGCTGTTCTCAGTCCTCATACTTCAGGGTGAGCTGGTTACGTGGCCCAGTGATCTTTTGACTTAAGCTATTTAGACTGGGTTTCTGTCACTTGCAAATAAGTTCTGGATAATCTGCATTTTCTGATTAAATAATGAACATACATTGTTTTTGTAAAATAAGTGAACACACATACCCACAGACCCATACTTAGGTCAAGGGCTCAATTTGATTTCGGTGACAAGTGCTCCCAGGGGTCATCCTCACTTAGCTTCATTACCCAACTGTGTAAAACCCAGATTGAGGAGTGGGCAGGCATCAGATTACTGCTGCTCTACCTTTGTAGAGAGATAGTGGCCAATCTTCAGTAAAATCCAAATTTAACAAAGCTGGGAAAAACAAACCAGGAAGCTATCAAACAGATGATTCTTCCTGTGCAGCTGACTGGAGCCAGGGCTTTGGGACAAGAGGTTATGTCCACACTGACGGGAGCCCAGTCTGCTCAGGACCCAACAGGAGGTGCTGCACCGAAGGAAGAGATGATGTGAGGATCCGTAATACAGGCCTCAACATACATGGATGAATAAGCAAACAAAGAATACAGAAGCTCCATTTCTGTGCCCTGCAAGACCTTCTCACTCCTGTAACTCGTGCAGCGTGGCGGACTCTGGCAACACCGGCCACAAGGCCCATGAGAAGACTCATCACAAGGTCACCAACAACACCCCACCATGGCCAGTGACCAGACCCATGCTGAGATTTTACAGCTGGTGGGCAATGTGGCTCCTATCACAAGAAGAAGAAACTAACACCCCAGCACCTGCAGGTGGCCATCTGCCAGGAAGAGGAGCACAACCATCTGCTGGGAGACGTGATTATCCCTGAGGGAGACGTCATGCCCAACATCCGGCCCAAGCTGTTTCCCAGGACCAGCACCCCCAAGCCACGGAAGGCACCCACCAGGGCAAGAAGTCCTCCCAGACCTCGGATGAGCACTGAGGGCACCTGCTCTTCCATCCCCACCGCCCAACCCTCCCCAGCCCAAAGCCTCTTTTAACCCCTCACAAAAAAGAGCTCTCAAAATAAATGCATTATGTTTTCACAGC